CTCTCTCTCTCTCTCTCTCTCTCTCTCTCTCTATAAACATTTGAGCACAAGAATGGGGAATGCACTCCCTCTCATCGCCTTTTGCAGACCATGCGTCCTTCTCATCCTGGCCTCAATGGCCTCCCCAAGATATTCTACTTCATACCCACAATCCTTGCTCTCGTAACATCTCTCTGCATCATTTACTGCATCAATCTCACGTCAAATTACACTGGTTTTCTTCTCGGGAAACCCTATATCGGCTCTTTCCTAATTCAAAAAAGGATCCCTTTTTTACAAATACCCAATTCAATCGATATCAAAACTAAGGTACCTTTGCCTGATTCAGGCAACAGTGAAAGGTTATCAGAGGGGGAACTTGACTTGAATATTGGTAAAGGTAAGTGGGTTTTGCTCTTGTTCTTCTAATTTCTTATCAGTAAGACTTTACTTCGATGGCTTACCAGAGAAAAGAAAAGGTTGTGTTTTTTTGGAAGGAAAATAATAGGAAAAGGAAATGGGAAGAAATTTTGGGTTTTGATGCTTTGATGCTCATAACAACTCTTTTATGTTTGTTCAATGATATTTTAGAACTGTTGTGATAATATATGGATACCCCATATATCTGACTGTGTTTTATGCTCTATTCTCTTTGAAGCATAGAACATGAAAAAATTTGCAGGTTACTTAAAACTACTTACTTTTTTGTTTCAGAGAAGAAATATAGTTCAAACCCATTCTGTCCCTTTGTTTAAATACGAATGACACTGTTGTTTGTTCATCTATGTTTCCCTCTAATGAAATAGTGATGAAAAATGCCTCACTAATTTCACAGTGTAGAAAGGCCTTCCCGCTAATATCATCATCATCATCATGGCATCTTCTCAATTAATTGCTAGACAGATCCTAGTAGCTTTATTAGGGATCCTCAGGTATTTTCTCGCTACTTCTAACCTTGTCCTTTTGAGCCTTCCATTTAAACTAACTTGCAATTCTTAACTGCTGTACTGGGTTTGAGCCACGCATGACCAGCCCACCTAAGTCTACTCTCTTTTATCTAATCACCTTAGATGCCGATAATATCTCTATAGTAATAATTGCTACATGTATGCATGCGAAGTATGAGAGTTTTAGGCTTTTAGCAAAGAAGCAATATCATGTAAATTATATGAAATTATGAATAATGAGAGTACCTTTTAGAATGTATGAAGCTGTTTAACAAGGACTGTAATTTTGAGGGAAATCAAAGTATGATAAAATTTGATGTGGGTAAGAATGGTAAAGCAGTCTTTTGGGCTCTTGGGTAGTGGGATTTGGGACCAATCCAATTGGAATTAGAAATCAGCTTCTAACTTCACCTTAAACTACCTTCTGTCACATGAACTTCTTGCAATAATAGTGTTTCAAATCTTCCAATCATATTTCTTCATAAGACCAAAAGTTGAAGTATGAAGACACAAGGGCTTCTTTTGGGGTCTTCCATTCTCGCGCTATTCCTGCACGAGTATGCCTAATTTTTTTTTTCACAATGACAATTACAGTTAAATAGGTGTTACATCCTTATTTTTCTGTGCAGAAAACAATATCAACAATGGCGTTTTCCATGATAAAATGGTCTTCCTCGAAGATTACAAAGCCATGAACAAGAGTTTAAAGATTTATGTTTACCCACATAGCAAAGATGATAGCTTTGCCAATGTGCTATTACCTGTGGATTTCAAACCAGGTGGAAACTATGCTAGTGAAAGCTACTTTAAAAAGTGCCTCATGAAAAGCCACTTCATCACAAAGGACCCCAAAGAGGCCCATCTTTTCTTCTTACCTTTCTCAATCGCAAGTCTTCGTCATGACCCACGAGTTGGGGTACATGGAATTCAGGATTTTGTGAGGTCCTACATATATAACATTAGCCAGGCCTATCCTTATTGGAATCGAAGTGGAGGAGCTGATCACTTTTATGTTGCTTGCCATTCAATTGGGAGGTCGGCCATGGAAAAAGCAGTTGACGTGAAATTCAACGCAATTCAAGTCGTGTGTTCTGCTAGCTATTATTTATCTGGATATGTGGCTCATAAAGATGCATCCATGCCTCAGATATGGCCAAGAGAAGGAGACCCTCCAAAAGCAGGTTCAACAAAAAGGTATATGATAGATCCCGTTTGTAACAATCTGTGATAGGTACTTCTTCATTTGATTGAGCATCTGAGCTGATCTCCGTTTTAGACTTATGTTGTTGGATTTTTAGACACTTTTGCTTGCTTTCATCATCTGCCAATTGTAAATTATTGTAGTGTTGAGCCTCGTAACATCCACAGAAATATATGCATATATTTGCATCTCTCCAGCTTGTCTGTGCAGGTGCTTACACACACAAACAGAGAGCCTATTGTAGATGATCCTGGTTATATATAATATTTAAGGCTCACTTTGATCCAGCTTTGGTTAGTTTCAAAGTGTAGAGCCATGGGCTCTGGTTTGATGGAGATCTCACTGGTTTTCTTTGAGTTCCATGAATGTGGGATTACAAACGAACCATTATATGGTAGTGTAGTGCTGCTGCCCTGCCAGGGATTTGAAGCGACGTTTCGTTTCCCTTTTAGATGATTTCGTTCTTTACTCACTAATTCTTGGATCGACAACTTACAAGGTCACATATTGTGTGTCCAAGGATGAATGACTACATTACTATTTTACAAATATAAGGATACAAGTATCTCAGACATATAGGAGTGTCAAAAATGCTAAGCCTGAAGTTTTCCTTTTAGGCGCGATACGTCCATTCATCATTTAGAGCTGGGGTATTGATGGGACCTCTGGGTAATTTATGGTGATATTTGAACAAAATAATATCAAGGATAGGTGTCTAAGTTTATGAGTATCAGACACGGGTATTATGTCCATGGTGTGTCAACACATGTTGAACCATTTGATAGAACTTAAGTGTGATTCCAATAGGCGATAAAATGAGAGAAAATAGATTTAGGTGGGCTGGCCATTTGTAGCAAGACCCAATACAACATCTGTTAGGAGGTGCTAGTTGGTTTAAGTGGAAGGCTCAAAAGGAGCGAAGGGTAAGGCCAAAAAGAAATGGTTGGAAGTAATGAGAAAATGTGTTAGGACTTAGGACCTCACTGAGGGTATGACCCTTGATAGAGCAGAATGGCGAATCGAGATTCGTGTAGCTGACACTAAATAGTTGGGAAAAGACTCTGATATATATATATATATATATATATAGAGAGAGAGAGAGAGAGAGAGAGGAGGTAGTCGCGTACTATTAGTATACAGTACGTATCTTAGTTAAACGTTAAAAGTAGTGTACGTTAGTTTAGGTTAGGTAGGTTTGGTTTGGTTCGGTTAC